GGCACGGATCTAAAGATTTTAATGATAAGTACTCTGTGAATTTAGAGAATGAATCAAGTCTATACTGTGAAAAAGCAAAACTGAATTAGAATTTAGAAACATATACTTTCACTGTGATATAGAAGTCTAAGTACAAGAGTTTTTAGTGATGAGCCTTAGGTTGATGTTCTAAATTGTGAAAAGCAAAACTAAATCAGAACTTAGAAACACATGCTCTTACTGTGATATGTTACCTGAACATTCATATAACTGTTAGTCCTAAGTAATATATCTGAATATGTTATAATTTCAATTTACTTGAACATAACTTTCTAGAGATACTGCAACTTTATAATTAAAAGAAAAGGGGGAATTGTGGATAGATAGAATGTAAGAGAATAGAGATGGTGAAGGTAATCTCACCCCTAAGGAGTTACCGCTGGTGCTAATTATCAAGAATTAGGAACAGGCCTGCCCTTAATAGGCCACAGCTGGATCCAATTAGAATGGATATTGTAAAAGAGTAGGTTGGCTAGTCAAGAAGGATGGATGGAGTTTGTTAGCTGTGCTGAGAAGGAGGAGTCAGTGCTGTGAGGAGCTGCCCATGAGAAATCACCAAGAAGGTATAAAGCCTTTGCAACAAGATGACAACAGTGCATTGCTACTACCCTTGGAGATTTTGGAGGGCTCTGCCAGAGATACTGTGGAGAACAAAGCTACTTAGATTGTGGCTAATTTTAAGGGAAAAAGAACCAGAAAACAAACAGCTCTCACTTTAAAATTATGCAGATGATAACAAGCAGAATGTCGAATCCAGGGAGCTGTTGCTCCAGCCCTGAGTGCACTTTAAACACCTCTTCCTTCAGGAGGAATGCAGCCTTCCCCATGTCCAGGCAAATGTATTTGAATGGTTCAGGCCAGGACATTTTGGAGGAACAGAAGGTAGAGGCTGGAGAGTTTTTATCTGGCTGTAAGTCGTTAAAACCAAACCGGATGGTTTGCTTTACAGTGGTATTAAAGTAAAATGAGTAAAAGTATACTTAGGGCATAGTAAAATCTTTAATTTGTCATTCATCCTGAGCCTTAGCTAGTGATTGATGGACAATGTCAGAAGAGTGTCCAGATTAGATTCTGAGTGAATCAATTTATTATAATATTAATACAGTGCAATTGCTGATGCATTTATTTTTTATTGCATAGACTTAGCTCTTGACCATTTTGCTTATCTTTGGGGTATTGCTCAGTTCAGCCACCAACTGAAATGAATGCCAGTGAGTAATGCTGAGATCCAACAGAAGTAAAAAAATCTGTCCTAAAGTGGAGTACTTAAAAAATTGGCTGCACTAACTTTGTCTTGAGGAATAGTTATATGGTACAGCCCAGATTACATGAGGGCTGTATCAAACATTTTATTCTATCCCATGGCTATCTGCCATGGCCCTTTTATTTGACTAATTTTATGCAGAGGATAATGGACACCTTTTTGCAATACAAATGAGTAAAGAGACTGAAGCTATAATAACTTGTATTGGCTAGTGACAGTCCTGCTAAAAGCATCTGCGTTATAATTTATGCACATATTTCATTACAGAAAACTTTCTTCACAATGAGATGTCCGGGTAGTGAAAAATAGCTTCAACTTAAAAAGAAAATGGGGTTGTTATTACCATTCATTTCACCCTCATAACCTCAAAATGGCGTTAAGTTTTATACACAAAACCCATCAACTGTATTTTTAAGTACGTCTCACCTCCAGGCCTTTCTTCAGGACTCAATTTGCACCTTTTTTTTGTTGTTGTTGTTTAATGTTATTTGCAAATTTATTTTTTTAACCTGGTAGTAGTAGCAATTTCTCTCTTCATATATGTCACACAAACAAAATATTACTTCCAAGATAAACTGACACTTAAAAAAATAAAAAAGAATATTGTCTTTGCCTGGTTAGATTTTTTCTACCAAACAAACTGTCAAGGACAGATAAAGTAATCTAAAATAATTAATTTTTTTTTATAATGTTTTTTTTTTTTTCTCACAAGGGAATGTTGCAAATTTTTCATCTGTGAGAAACTTCTAGAGATTTGCTTGGCTTTTTAATTTTTTTAATATAAATAACCATTTTTGGTTTGTTTTTTTTCTAGAAGGGAACAAAATCCAAACTATTTTGATAATATAGTTATCGTCCCAGCAATTAACCAGTTGGTGTGATACAGGTCTATCCCACAAAAACCTTATAGTGAGACCTATCCTCCTTTACTGAAATCAAATAGATTTCAGTCATACTTTGAGACCCTTTGTGAACCAGGTTGATGAGGCCAGACGTGATGATATGCTCTACATTCATTGTTGAAGAGCAAGTATTCAGCCAGCCTCAGCTTTCTGTAATACACATGTAGGACACGACCTCCCGCACGTCAGACTCTCACAGAAAATAATCCACACACATCCTGGCTAGCTGAGCTCTTAGTTTGTTCTGTTGTGTCTTAGGAAAGTTGTAAAACTCATTTGAAAGGATTTTATCTGAGGGAGATTTTTTTTTTTAAAAATATAATGATTTAGACTGAGTTCTAAAGATTGAACCATGGATGAGGACCACTTCATTCTCACTGTTGATGGCACCAAGATGTACTTTGTCTTGTTATCCAGAGTCACAGTGGGTCTTATGCAAGTGGGTTAATTTTGGAGGAGAAGTGGAAATTTAATAAACAATTGATAGGAAAAAAACATGCAAGTTTCCATTTTCAGTTCTTTAAGTAGTCTGGGCTAGTTAAAGAATATTACGGAAAACTATCCCCAGTTGTTCCAACACCTTTTCTATCTTGACTTTTTTTTGCTACTTTGTTCGTTGAAACCAAGTTTAATTAAAATGATGATAAAAATGAGCTTGAGATTTCAGCCTTTACCAAGTCTCAAAACAGCACTATTCCATGACTCATACGAATTAATGATAGTCTGTTACTGAGGGCTGTTTTTGTCCCATTCTGATACAAAGTTAAACAGGCTTTCAAACAGAAGCTGAATTTTTGATGTGAAACAATCATAAAAATACACAATTTTAAAATTATTTTCATGCCTTTTCTGTTGCAGGTTGCCTTTGAGGAAAGTTCTATTCAAATAACCAATTGAAATTACTTCCTGCAGTAGACTTCTGGTCTGACTTTTTAACAAGCTGGTCTGATAGATGTTTTTTAGAGTCTGAACTTATGTCTAGTAAATAATGTAATTCCTCTAGGCTCCCTGGCCAAGGAAATTGGCCAACTGAATGGGACTCAAGAGACCTCAATTCTATTCCAAATTTCTAAACTAGCCTTCTGGGAAACTTTGTTATCCAAAAAACAAAGCAAATGGTATTGACTGGTTTCGTGAAGGGATGTGAAAACTGTTTAGGAAAAATTCTGCACAGAACCTACTTATTGCTATTCTTATTATCAAGAGAAAGGGCTCCGTGCAAAATTATACAGAATGGCCATTTTCTCCCTGAAGGAGAAAATTAAGAAGAGTGCTTCAGCATGTGTGCTAATGATTAACCGTGCCACAGTTATGATATTTTGTATTATTGGACAGTCTTGGAATGTGTGGTTTTCAGACATTTCAGACAGAGTTTTTCCCTTAAAGGCAGACTTTTTGCATGGAACATGCTTTCTCTAGGGATCATTGGCATAAGCACACACAGTGGAGCACTGTGCCACCAAGTGTGTTGTCTGGGGATTTCGGATTTCAGCAGAAACTTGGAGGAAGCCCAAAACATTGACCATATGGTCATGCTGTAGGCTGCCCTTCCAGCATGGTAGGGGCATAGCCAGGAACAGCTGGAGTCTATGCCAAGATTCTTTAAATCTACAAATTTTACTGTTCTCTGCACGCTATCCAGCAATGCTAAGCACACTGCAAAACACTCGGCCAGGGTTTTTTCCCCTAAATCTTACTCAGGAGAAGATAAGCAAAGAGATGATTGAGAAAATCCAGCTCTCCTGAGTCATAAGAAGATTTTCTCTATGAAAGAAACAATTTCCAGGAATCTGCTACCTAAAAGATTTTTTCGCCATTGTCTTCATTACCTATGCTCTCACATTGGAAGCCGTTTTAATGTTTCATTTTATTTCATTTTTATTTTTGCTAATGTAACAATAAAATAAGTTGTAGTTGAGTAGCCTGGATTTTAAGGCCAGGGGAATAAATAAGGCTTTTTTAAGGAATACCCATAAGGATATTATTTAATCAGTTACACCTTTTGAGTCACTCAACCGAATTCCAAGAGATGTGGAAATAATCTGGGGAAATAAGAGATGATGGTTCAGGTAGCACATGTTTTGTGTGCTAATTACCATCATTCTTTTCTTTCCCTTTCCACCACCATGTTTCAGCTTCATCTATGCTCCTTTGATTAAGGCAACTAATCTCTTCACTTCCAGTGCTGTAATGGTCTGGTACACCTGCCTGGCTCTGGCCTTAGTTTGCCAGATCTGTGAATGCATGTATTTATCTGCTGTTTGTGTATGTATTTGGTAGTTATTTTATTGTGCATTATATGATATATTACATAATGTCTATGGGGCATAAGAGCAAAGCACCCAGAATTTCAACTTTAGAAGTGGCTTGACTGGCCATTGCTTACTGCAATTCCTAAATTGCTTACTGCAATTCCCAAACACTCTGTTTTTTCACTGTAGGGTATCATTGCCCTATATGTTCTTAGGATTCCACCTAAGTCACCAGAATTTGGATTTGATTGATGTATATTTAGCTTGGGAAAGTGGTCTGTAGCTGCAGTTTATGGTTATCCTCAGGCAACTTCTTATAATATTGCCGACCATTTCAATTCTGACATTGAGACACAACTCAATCTATTCACTGCTTCTACTGTAGTATCAACTCATTTCCCAAAAGCAGTGTGCAGCCTTCTGGCTGAGTATTACTGATAGGAAAGCATGTATCATGGTATAGGTTAGAGTATCTAGAATTGTGTTCCAATTATTTATTTATTTTCCTTTCTTTTTATTTTTTTATTCCCATTTCACCACCAGCTGCATTCAGACCAGGATAAAGGAGATGGATCACTTAAATACATCCTTTCTGGAGATGGAGCAGGAGACCTCTTCATTATCAATGAAAACACTGGTGACATCCAGGCCACAAAGAGACTAGACAGGGAAGAAAAGCCTGTATACATACTCCGTGCTCAGGCTATAAACAGAAGGACTGGAAGACCAGTGGAACCAGAATCTGAGTTCATCATTAAGATCCATGACATCAATGACAATGAGCCAATGTTTACAAAGGATGTTTACAACGCCAGCATTCCCGAAATGTCAGATGTTGGTAGGTGCTAACTAATAACTGGTTTCAGTGTCTGGTCTGGCTTCTTTCCATGGAGTTATTGAAGGGCCCAGACTTTACAGGTGTTGAATAAAGACATCTGCTGTTTGAGTCTGGACTAAAAGTACCTGAGACATTAAAAAAAAATTAAAATCCAGGAAAATAGTGGCAACAGTTTGCTGGAATCAGAGGTGTCAGCTGGGTGAAACATGCTCCCTCTGTTGTACCACAAAAAAATGCAAGTTAATACCATCTGGTTTAACGTCAATGAAATTAAGTTGAGCTCTTTTACATGAATACCTGAGTTTAATATATGTTAGTAATACGATATTTCATGATTGTCTGTGTCAATACCACTCTTAGATCTGTTCAGCAACCTTATTTAGTTCAGGAAGTAAACAAAATGGAAAAGGGGGTACAGAAGGGGTTGTACACATTTCTGTCACCCATTCGTTCTGAGACATGCCATTAACTTCCTATGACCTTTGTTCTTTCCATGCAAAAGAAAAGAATGCCAAAGTCCCTTGAAGTCCACTGAAATCTTTCTATTGATTTAAAATATGTTGAGCTGTAAAAATCAATCAAGACAAGAAAAAATAAAAACTCCTTTGGAAAATTATTTTAAGATGAGATCTTTTCCTGAGAAGTTTACAGGATTTGATTCTTTGATTCTTAGGGAGGTCATTTTGATTTCTTTGTCAGAGAGCAATGGATGGTTGAATTCCAAGAAGCACATTTCTAATTTGAGATAATGTCCAGGGAGAGAAGCATTAATTAATCATGATCAAGAGTGAGATTAAAATAAAGCTCAAGCAATATGAAAATAAAGACTTTGGGGCATACGCTCTCCCCTCATTCATGAGACTTGTCACATGGATGAAAACTCATCTGATGAAGTAAGAACCTAATAGTCACATTTTAATATGTGAACACTTTATTCACAAATGGTTTTTAATGCCAAAATCTAAGCTAGTTTTTTATGTTTCTTAACACATTGCCTAAGATTCAACACAATTTTTTTCTCTAGAAAACACGTGAAGAACCATATTTACATTCTTATGTCAAATACTTTAAGAGTATGAGTAGATTTGCAAAAGTATAATCATGACCTAGATTCAAGTTCTGAATGCTTACAATATCTGGAGAGGGGTGCATTACTGTTTCCTTCAGGACAGAAGGATCCACATACCTAATCAATAACCGTGTTTGAATGAGTTGAGAATAACACTGGTATCATTTTGAGTTTGTCCTTCATGAGCAGAAAAAATTCTACAAAATAAGAACATTTCTAACATCCTGCCACAAGTCTGACCTGAACATGAATTATTTTTTTCTCTACATCATAAACTGTTTGGCCGTGAAAAAAACCTATTATTTTTTTTTCTTTAATTTTTCATTGCAGGTACCTTTGTTGTGCAAGTCACTGCAACTGATGCTGATGATCCTACATATGGGAACAGTGCTAAAGTTGTCTACAGCATTCTCCAGGGACAACCATATTTCTCCGTCGAATCTGAGACAGGTCAGGGGACCTTATCTGTCATTCTGTGACAATGTCTGTAATTCAAAATGACACGCTAAGCCGAGCTAGGATAGATTACTAAAAAAACTTTGAAGAGATTACATCTTACTCAGTGCAAAATCTGACAAATTTAATAGAGCAATACATCTGTAAACATGACACCTACATTATTTTAATCTTACCAGCAAAGTCTAATAAATACAATTAGTACTAGTTGTGAACAAGTTTTCAATCATTTTTAACAAGCAGTGGGTACAGAAACTGCAGTGGATGCTTAAATTAAACCAAATAGGTTGGCTTTTAGATGAAAGAGAGAAACAGGTGGGTGTGGAAAAAAGTGCTTCATCCTCATAGATCTTCATAATAGCTAAATTAAGACTGAGGGTTTGTTCAGGTGAGTTTTCTTTCTCCGTCTGCTTCTTCAAAACTTGTTTAAAGTAATTATAATTTCTTGCATCTGCAGCATATCACTTTAATGCTAATTTTATGAAAGAAATCTTAATTAAGAGTAATGATAGAAGTGGTAAAATTGACTGTTGCGCTAAAGTAGAAGATCACAAATAGAATCCCAAAGTTCTGAGTTCTGTTTTTGGAAGATGTTTAAATTATACACAGTGACTGGAATTTTTGATGGTCTAACTAACAAACAGCTTTGGAACCTGTGCATATATATTTTGTCTGGCTGAATCTGACTGAATTGACTACCAGACGACATAGAGTCTCTTCCCAAGCTTTTTGACTAAGTTTTCCAAGAAGAAACAAACCATCTCAAGAAACTCCTTGGAGTGTAAAAACTGCAGTGGAAACATCCACTGTGTTATGTTGCTGGAAGCTAGGGAAATCGGTTCTCCTCAGGATCCTTACAGGAAAGAAATAGATTATCCCAGACAATTAATCAGGTTCAGGATTATTTCTTAGATAAATCTTAGAGACTCATGAAGGGAAAAAGGAGAGACTATATGTCTCAAAGTGAAACCTGAGTTGAAAGTGTGCACACAATTCTGAGAAGAGGGAGAGCCAAGATCAAAGGGAGCTTCCCTTCAAGGATAAGGTATTAGATAACAGAAGCCAGGATTTTTGCACTGATGCACTCTTTCTGACATGGACAGTACAGTGTGTACTCCTCTAGAGTTATAATAAGGATAAAGTAGCTGGGAGTTCACCAGTAATAAACTTCTTTCAACAGGTTTTGTGTGGGGGACGGGAAGCTAAGTAAACCACAGTCTTGATCTTCCAGCCATGGAAATCAATTGCAGAACTCTTAGAGTGAAACATGTCTCTTTCAAAGCGCTTTGAATTTTGTCATGGGTTTCAGTACTTGAATTTCACCCCATTTGCCTACAAAGGAGTCAGTTCTTACCTTGAGAGACCCAGTGAGAATGCAAACACTTTGCTTCATGGTAAATCTGAATGATTGAATTTCAGTAGTAGTTGGCCTTATAACTAGTATTTGTGCCTTTGAAGAAGGAAGTAACTGGCAAATCGTTTCAATCAATGTATAAATAGAAGTATATATACTTGGGCATGTTTGAATGCTCATAATTTTCTTAATTAATTTCTTTTCTTTCATTTAATGTTGCTGCACTCTTCAAGGATGTCTTGCTGAAGTTAGCTTTTCTCTTTTTTTTACCACATCTGTCAAAATAATGAACAAACATCCTTTTTCCAGTTCAGTGAGAGATTTTAGCATGGAACTGAAAGAGGGTAAATAGTTATGTAAAATAACATGGCTCACAAATAAGTAGAACATTTTTCTGTGGGCACCACTTATACTTGTGTCTGTCATACAGGCAGGAGCCTAAGATGTGACATGACAAGTCTGTAATTTAATGAACCATCTCATAACAGTAAATATTTGTACTGGGCAAAGTTTACTTACTGCACAGAGATTTTTTTGTTTCTTTAATAAGAATTTCCATCAAAGTCACTACCTGTGAACTCCCCACTCTTTAATTTTCATGTTTACAGGCATTATTAAAACTGCTTTACTGAACATGGATCGTGAAAACAGGGAGCAATACCAAGTGGTCATCCAGGCTAAAGACATGGGAGGCCAGATGGGAGGACTATCGGGGACCACCACCGTGAACATCACACTGACTGATGTCAACGACAATCCACCTCGCTTCCCCCAGAGTATGGAATATTTGTATTCTGTGTTCTAACACTAAAATGGGCAAAAATGGTTCTTGTTTTGTTTTTCGCTCACCTTAGATATTGTTTCTTCTATTGTGAATTTACTGAGTATCAAACTTCCTTTAGGAAAGAAAAAGAGACCATATAACTAAGCAATATCATGCCAAGATTAATTGCAATAACTGGGATATGAATGTATAATATTTTTACTCCAGTTACAATTGACAGTCTGAGAGGTGAATTAATGTGCAGAAACAACTTCTATTTTTCCTACTTTTTAAATAACTGATCAATGTAATCTGTATTTCTTGTTCACTACTATTTCTTTCAGACTTCGTGATTGATTGCATTTTAAAGTATCTGTTGCAATCTAATATATTGAAGTTTTGGAATAAATTTATTTAAGTTTGTAAAAATATACCAAGAACAATTCTATAGAAAGGAGTATTTATAACAAGAAAGCATTTGCTACAATGAACTTTCCTATATTCTTTGCATACAGAACCAAAAGCATGTACATAAATATACCAGGTGTTTCTGCCTATTCACTTCCCCTCTCTCAAATAATTCAGTAGGTATCTATGTGATGCTTATGGGAATCAATTGCACAAGCTCTCTTAGAAAGTAATTCCTATTAATGACCATTCATTGCCGTAAGGGATTCAAAGTGATTCAGCTTTCATCCTCTTCCCTGTCCCTCTCTCTTTACTTCCTTCTTTCTCTATTTTTTTTTCCTTTTTTACTTTGTCTAACCACTGCTGTCTGTATGATGTGTGTGTATCGCAGTGTCAGTGTGTGTCAAAGTCAAGAGCAGCTGTTACAGAAAATAATTGCAGATACTATCAGACAAATCAGTGAGCTTTGGCAGTTAAGTCACTGGGAAAGTTATTGGAAGCAACTTGTCATTTAGGTTCAAAGTCTGTTCTTAGCTGTGGGCAAAGAGTTTCCATTTAAATTAGGGCAACTTAAGAAGAAATATAACACTATCAACCCAATGAGTTAATTATACATCTCTGGACATAAGTGTCTTCAATGTAAAAAGCAAAGATACAGCTTCATAATGTCAACACTCCAAAAGCAGAGGGTTTTTTTTTTTTTCTGACAAAAATTCGATGTAGTACATTTTTAACAGGTATTTCAGCTGAATTCAGTTTTAGTGTTACTAAGCTGCACTAGCTTCTGACAATTCTTAATATTTGCCCTTTGGCCTCAAGACATTTTTCATACACACTTCTGATACAGCCATCAGAGACCATGAGAGTATCCAGAAAGGGACATCTGTTGCTAAAGTTGCATGTTGTTAGCAAAGCAAAATGCCCATTCTCTGTACGAGAAGACAGGTAGAAAAAAACAGGTAGGAAAATAAGTAACTTTTACCCACATGAAAGTATGGCAGAAGCTGAAGGCTTTTGGCCCAGGAAGACCCAGCGACTTCCTAACTCACCTGCACACGCCCAGCGTGGAGAGTGGACTGGGAATGGTGTCCAAAGCACCTTGAGACTGACTAAGCAGATTTCCCTCTCTGTCTGCTGCAGGCACATACCAGTTCAGAGCTCCTGAGTCGACGCCGCTCGACTCCCCAGTCGGCAGGATAAAAGCTAATGATGCTGACGTGGATGAAAATGCAGAGATTGAATACAGCATCACTGAGGGGGATGGATATGACATGTTTGGAATTACCACGGACAAGGACACGCAGGAAGGAATTATAACTGTGAAAAAGGTACACATCTTAACACAATCCCAGCCTCTGAAACACCAGTCAGACCTTTGTCTAGCACATATTTGTTTTTCCTTTTAGTGCAACATGTATGTTTTGTTAATTTGAATTCTATCTTTTGGGAATCTCTACATTTAGTAAAGTTTATTTTATGCAAGCAATTGGTATCCTTCCTCTTATACCTTCTTTACTAAACCAATGCACAAACTTTGGAGGACCTGAGAGAGTAAATTACCTAAAGCGTGGGGTGCAACTGAGAAAAAATTCTGCAGCCTGAATATACTCACAGAAAAACTAAAGGAAGCTTCACCATCCAACTGTGATTTTCCCTCTATGATGCTTACAGGTTTTGCTCACTTAGTAGAAGATACTGTGTTAAGACAACAGAAATAATTAGCATCACATTGCCTATTTTTCCTTATAAAAGGCTGTTGATTCTGCAGCTGTAATATATTAAAGTACATAGATAAATTTCTTTTGACTCACATTTTGTAAAAATGTAATATATCTATCAGCATGCTTTTGCTTTAAAAAAAAATCAGTGCCTTGCGAGATCACAGTGGACATCATCTACTAGGTTGCACATTGGTTGTCAGAAAAGGTTTGAGAAATATTGTTCACAGTGGGTTATCAGGCAAACTTGATAAGGTTACAGATATCATCCTTCATCAACTCAAGTTCAGTCATCACTAGATAGACATTGTGTAGATTTTCCAAACATGCACTTGCTTGTTGATATCAGTACGACACCTGTCATTACTTGTTTTTTTAGGAGATGCCTTCCAGGGTCTGATTATGATATCAGTCTAACTCTGTTTGTATTTCTGTCTGTTGCTGACAGAAGCTGTGAATTTTCTACAATGTAATGGAAAAATGGGGTGACTACTCTGTCCCCACATTTCTCCAATTAGTAACAAAGAGTCTCTAAAAGCTGTTTCTTTGTAGTTTTAAGGGTGTGTGCTGTAGTCTTAGCCTATCATAAAATCATGTTTGGCTTTGTGAGTGGTCCTGGAGATCCAGACACTAGGTGCCACTGTGTTTCATTTCTGTGATGGAATGCCAGCATCTAAACAAGCAACACCTAGGAAATCTTCCCTCCTTTAGTATGTGATACCTAAGGACAGGAAATAGATAATAAATCATCAAAATGCCAAAAAACGACAGAATAACCAGCATGAAGAGTTAAAGCTGTATGAGAAAACTGCTTGGTGTTTAGGAGTTCCAGGCATAGAATTCCTTGAAAAAAATGGTTTTCTTCCTAATGTATTATCTGGGCCCATAGCCCTTTCTCCTTTCTGTTGGCATTTCAATTCCAGTTCAGGCTCCCATTATCTAGCACAGGCCTCTCCATGACTTCCCACCATTCATCCTGCTAATCTGGCTGAGAACCTGAGAACTCCAGCAATCTCCACAGACTTCCTAAACTTTTTTTTTTTTCCCCAGGCACTGGATTTTGAAAGCAAAAACTTGTATATTCTCAAAGTGGAAGCTACCAACACTCATGTGGACCCTCGTTTCCTGTACTTGGGGCCATTCAAGGACTCAGCTACAGTCAGAATTCAGGTGGAGGATGTAGATGAACCCCCCATGTTCAGCAGACCAGCATACATAATGGAAGTCAAAGAAGATGTTCCGTTAAACAGTGTAATAGGAACAGTAACTGCTCAGGATCCAGATGCTGCCAAGAATCCTGTCAAGTAAGCATATACTACTTCAGCTTGCCTGTAAATTTTTTACAGCCTTGATTTTGCTTTTATCATGTCAGCACATACAAAAAAATCCTCACTTGTAACAATGTGAATTGTAGGGCATGCTTGAATATGGAGTATTGTACATGGTAAATGATCTCTCACACTTGAACATATTTAGGTATGTGTGAATGTGTTTGCATGGCCTTTGCATCTTGAATTATATCCTAATCTCTTTAGTAACTAATGTATGTGGTTATTTCTACTGTGAAAAAATTGACGGCAAAAAGGCCACTGAGAAAATCTTAGTGTTTTCCTTCCACATCCCTTTAACATCCTTTCCTTCCACATCCTTTAACATTTTCCAGTGCAGCACAGTGCATCCTCTTGGCTATATGACAGAGGGATGATTCACCAGCCTTTTCTTCTTCTGTCCAGACCTGCCTAACAGAGGCCACATTCATCTTTTCTAAATCACAAGTAGAAATGCCTCAAAATCAGCTCATGTGCACACCCAGGCTCTGATCTCACCTGTATCAGTGCAAGGTTTGTAAGACAAGTAAGCTCGGTCTCATGAGCTTCATAAATTAAACTTGCCAAGAATCAATAAACTGTTCTTAGAGGAAGTGGAGAAAATGTTAAGGTTGGAGTAGCTATAACTGTCTTCTTTTTTTGTGAATTGTGTATTGTTTCAGTGAATACTGGAGTACTTAAGTCATACTGGATAGAGTATTAAAGAACTTTTAAATATTTGTGTTCTTTAATTAAAGTTCATTTCTACTGACAAGGCAGCAAGAGGAGGAATCGAAAAGTGCAGCAATATTAAATCCAGGTCAATTTTCAGCAGGTTTCTGAGTTGGGCACCTTGGAAATTCAATAGTAGCCTTTGATCAAAACAGAACAGTGCAGGTTTAATAAAAATCTAGCCCATCAATACTTTACACTTGTGCAAACAATTATCTTTCATCAAGATTTCTTACAGTAATGAGTAAGTTTTAAGCTCTTAGCTTATCTTGTGAGAGCAGTAAATATTTTAATGTTAATTTCCTAGATGAACAAGCTAAATCTAAAATGTTTCTGGCAGAAACTATCTTCAGTTTGTGTAGCATGCCCTCTACATGAATTCTTCTTCAAGACTAAGCCTTCTAACTTTACTTAAAGTTTTCTTAAATTTCTATCATGACATGCAGCCATTCTCTGGCATTCTGGGCCAGCAGAGCATAGTCACTTAAAGAGCAGCATAATGTTTTGCTGACTTTGGTGAAGCCCCAGGACAGAATGAACATCTTCTGTAGGACTTTTTCATGGGCATGGGCATGCTAGCATGAAGATGAAAAATTGGTTGGGGTGACACCCAGACCCCTTGCAGTCTTCACAGGAACCTGCTTTTTTATATCTAATGGCACTGGAGAGTAAGGGGAGTGCTTCCCTCCTTCCCTGTGGTGATAACTACAGCCATTTGCATTTCACACCAGCACCAGCTCCTAATTATAAGTGATTTACAGTGGATAGGGACTATGCTGTTCATTGTTGAGCACTGCCTACCGGCTCTTTGCTGTTAATTGAATGTGTGTGCTAAAACTTACCTAACTTTCAAAGGGCACTTCTTTAATACCGTAGAAGTACTTTGCATATTTTAGTATCAGATAGTTATTGAGCAAAATTTAGCAGAAGTGTCAAAACTGATGCAGTGCAGCAGAAAGCTTGTCTACTTTTTACCTTAATAACATGCAACAGCCAAGTGCAAGGAGAAGAAAACTAAAAATCAGAAAGAGTAATTAATCATATTAGAGTAATAGAAATAAACATAGCAAGAAAAACATGAAAATCAGTAAGAGAGAAAGGAAATCAGCAGAGAGCAGTAGCCTGAGAGATGTTAACTTGCAATAAATGTAATTTTGTGGTGCTAATATCTTGGGTATCTGCTAGAATTTAGGGGCATGGGTTGAGTCTGCATCTTTTTGACAGGGTAATTTTTTTTTTTTTCTATCATGCAATAGAGATGCTACATCTGATTTTCACTCTGAGCTTTGGGGAAGATGCAATTAGACAGTATATATATGACTTGTCACTTGCTTGTCAATTTTTCTTGACAGTTAAAAATAAAATCTTTAGACACTTGATATTACAATGAAAACCTTCCATTTTCTCCTCTACTCGAGTGAAGATTTCTCTTCTTAAACAAACTGAGCCCTAACTCTGTTAGATGAAAGCCCCTTTGATCTTCCATTAAAGGAAACCTTCACAATATCATTATGAAAATGCATTATGAAAAATTCACACACACATTCCTTCCTGACCCACAAATCTTCCTGACTTGTGGTTGCATTAGACAGCAAGCTGCTGAGCATCAGAAGACAATGAAGAAATAGCAAAATATGAAGCGGATATCTGCCCTTGTTGTAAGGCTGCAGAACCATTTGTGACCTGTGTATAGGCAGAGCTAAATTGCATCAGTCTAAGTCTTCTAAGTTTTCCCTGATATGACATTGAGAAAATACAAAAATACACCAGTACATGTTTGGCTGTATTTGAATATGTGTCCCAGTGTAGTAACATTAAGATACTCCCAAGTAGCATCTACAGTCCAGAGGTGTTATAAAAAAATTTTGCATTCTACTTGTGTTTGATCTACACATAAATAATATGAACCTCTGCATACTGATAAAAAAACAATGCTGAAACTGGCACTGCTGTATTGTGCATCAGATCTTTTTAAATTGCTAGCTGAGTTTTTTTGCTATAGTAACTCCTCAGAGGCATAATGAAGTTCATCAGTCACTGGAACTGTCTTCCTGCTGTGATTTGATTTACTAAAGTACCCCAGATGAGAATGATCTGCAAACAAATGTAAGGCTAAATTTTGTTTGTGTATTTTACTGACAACATATTTGCATGTGTTGGATTCTCTCTTTTACCCTTCCCTTCTTCCTGTTACTTACAAGGAGCGACTGGAGTCTACATGGATACTTTTTAACTTCCTAGCTTGTCAATTCCTCAGAGCTTGAAAGAGATGAAGTCCTGAAGTCTGACAAATACGCACCCGTAATTTCATTAAATAAATGTAAAAATTAGTTTGATGTTGTCTACTTAATTCTTACTAGGTTGTGATCCAGAAGTCAGAATCAGCACCAATTCAACATAATTAAAAATCCTTGATCAAAAGAGACTGGATTATGCAAACTGAGAAACAGAAGTGACGGTCTAGCTTATTAAAATCATCCTTCTAGAGGAGATTTAATGGTATAATTGGAATATACTTTAAATGCACTGACCTTGTATGTATTTTCTTTGGGATATGAAGAAATAAAATTCACATTCCATTAAGAAACTGTCTCTGCTGGGTTTTTTTATGAGTTTGAGTTTCAACTTTACAAATGACCGAATATACATATGGCTTTACAAATACTTGTACTTTAAAATCCTAAATATCTTGAAGAAGGAGAAGCCCTCAGTGTTACAGCCCTGATAATCTTAGAAAAAGTCCAGAACTGGTTTTTTTTCTTCCAGATACTGTACCACAGATTGAATTTGGGAAGTCTTTCAAAGATAATGATTGCAATATACTGAGGCATTAAAATGTGCTAAGACAGTAAGATATTTCAAGTGCATTCAAAATAGGAAGATGGAGTGAAAGTAAAATTGAAGCAAAAACCCCCAATGAACAGACAGCTCATGCCTAAAGCTAGTTGCTTATTTAAATGTCTTGCTGAATAAGAGTTTGAAACATAGTATTACAGTTAGCTGGAACAGCTAAACTGTGGAAAATCTTGATATTTCATTTCAAAGAAGAATACAGAATCTAGATTAAACTGCAAAATGGAAATACCAAAGTATTTCAGCTGAAAGGTGTGGAAATGAGCTACAGAATATCTGAAAATAATTGAATTCACAAGATACCAACATAATATCATATAAAAGCCAGAATGAATGAAAGTTAAAATGAAATGTTTACCATATCAAATACTTAGTCAAAATATAAAAGAGTCAGACCAGTTTGTATAAACTTATTCCCATTGAACATTTCAGCCAAGTCAACAATTTCACATGTGCTGTTTAGATTTAGACAAAGCAGCATTTTTCAAGCTGATGGTACTGTCACAATGCTACATAAAGGAACTAAGTTAGTGACACCACAGCTGACTTCCTGCAGCCAAAATTGCAGTACTGTCAGTGAAGTGACAGCAATGAATGAGAACTAAATCTGAACTCCTAAAGAATTAGCAAAGTTTGCCCATGGAAGTCCTACCAAAATTGTTAGCTTTTTGTGCTAGTACCTGAATGTCATTTGGGTGCTTCCCTAGGAATTACCACTGAAAAAGAAAAACAGTTTAGTGCAAATAATTAATTCTTGCCATTGTTTTGTTTAGAAAGGTAGGCTTCACTTAAATTCTTATTTTGGAATAAGACCTAATAAGTCTAATTTGCTATAGGCATTATATCCCACATTTTATTTGCAAAGAAAAAAGTTACAAGATAATTAACCAGTTAGTTCATTTTAAAATTTTGGCAGGACCACTTTTCAACTAGTTTCTTCTATTCCTTCCTTCTTTCATGTAAGGTGTTTCTCAGAATTTAAGAGACACTGCACAAGCACTAGGAAATCTGTGCAGAATGAAGGACGTGTCTGGCAGCTGCTTCTAGGGCAGAGGAGGGGAGAGAAATTTTTCTTCAGCCTCTGCATTCCCCTGAATTCTGTGGTGGCAGTGAACTCTGCCAGCCATTCTCCTGGCCCAGTTTTCGTCTGACTGCTTACCAGCTCAGCTGTTGTCTTTACCCTTGTGTGGACACAAGGGACAGCAGTGGCTGCCTTGTCTCCGTCAACGTGGTGTGCAAGGAGACCAAGGGAGCACACTGGGCTTCCGAAGGATCTGTCCTGCGTTGTACATGAGCACACAGTTGGACTGGAAACAAGAGCAGAATAATGCAATTGCATTCTTGCTTTGGCAACATCAGAGACATATTTCTGTCAAAAACCTCCATATTTTATGCAAGAATTTTCCCTTCAGGAGAGATGAAACCAAGTCACAGCATTTGGATCAAGGTGGTAGCGCTCTCTCCCGGGAATTGGAGAGTTCTGCTTTTAAACTTGGATTTAGTTCAGCTGAAAAAGCAAAAGATCAGATTGAAAATTTGAATCTGTATTTAGACTCTGAGCTCATCCAGAGCTTGTTAGCATTCCTTTTCACATATAGATACCACCAAGCAGGGCTGAGAATGTTAGTTTTAATGAGTTACAACAAACCTTTTTGTGATATGTGGAACAATGAATCTTTGTTCTGTACTGACTTGGTTTGGGAGGGCAACCTTTTTAAATGCTGAGAAGAGAAAAGTACAAATGCACCCCAGCTGTCACATTTTGTATCAGAAATTATTCAGAACAGTTGAGATATCAATCCATAAAAAGAGGGTTTTATAAAGGAAAATCCAACTCAGCCTTAAAATAAACTTCGTATCTTTCAGGACACAGACTTCACATTTTTCACTAAAAGCAAAGCTTTGATGATTCTCAGAGGTATGTAAATTCTGCAGCAATTCATTTATTCAGTGACAATACTCCACCTTCTAAATCAAACCTCCAATGTGTCATTATCCAGTAGCTCAGAACTAGCTCTTTGTGTGACTACATAAAGACTCTGAAGCCTGTGCTGAAAACAAAAGGAAACCCCATTTACTAGCTGTTTGATGTCTAGTCTTAGAAAATTGTTTTAGAACACAGACATTAAAAAGAAAGCATTCCTCTAACCCCTGTCTCTGTATTTGCAGGTACTCTGTAGATCGCCACACTGATATGGATAGAGTATTCAACATCAATTCAGGAAATGGTTCGATATTCACTTCAAAACCCCTTGACCGGGAAACACTGCTGTGGCACAACATTACAGTAATAGCAGCAGAGATCAGTAAGTTAAACCTAAATATGACTCCTGTCCCTGATGTAATGAATTTAGCCTTCTAGCTGAGTGTGTGGAAAAGCGCAGCTGGGCACATGTCAGGTTTATGGATAGCCCACTCAATACTAATGAAGAAGCAGTAACTCTGCAAGAGGTCGTCTGCAGTTTTGTGTTTATTAGGGACACAGTTCATGAGGAGGTAACGTAGCGGGGAGAACAGGTGGCAGTTCTGTGTTCTCTGATCAGTTATAGCCACTTTAAATTTTTGAACGTGGTCATTGAATTCTGAAACTGGTATACAGCAAAACAGGTGATTTAAAGCCAAACTGCATTCCTTGCCTGAATTCAGGCTCATTCAGACTGGATGTTTTCAAATAAGGCTAAAATGGCTGGGCTGAGCTGGGTGCCCAGATCTTAGTCAGTTTTATGCATCTTCGTTTTTCCTTTGTATGCATCTTTTGAAATTACAAGCCGCAGCTACAAATCAGTCTGTCACTTAGTTTAGGATTGTTAAAAGCAGTAATCTTGTGATAACACTAGACATGCTGATTTTAGAGGTCGAAATGCCAGGGGTCTAAGATAAGGACATATGTTCGAGATGGCCTTAATAAACAATCCATTTTGTTTTAATACATTATCTATAAGTACATCACATGCTCGAATATCAGGGAATGCAATTCTATTTGCTTTTGCAGAGTCACAGTGCCTATGTTTATGATGGAATAAGTGGATAAGTTTAATATAAACACCAGTTCTGTGACTGTCACCATGTCTCTCTGCAACTCAGAGGGCAAAAAGCTTTTGATTTTTCTGAGACAATGTAAGCTCTACTTTCATTTTTTGTATGTGTATATGGCTTGATTACCTGCTTAACAGTGAGAAGAGTGTAAAAAGCTCAAAATTACTTGACTCAACTTTCTTCATTGTGTAAGGCTTGTTTAAAACTGACAACCAATGTAAAACAATGTTACTGAGGCAAGCAGATGGGGTTTTATGAAGGAGGAGTTGGTATGAGCCTATAGGAATGACAAGACGTTAATAATTTTCTCCCTCTCCTGAAAGTTTGCACCTTTTAATGCTAGGTATGGGATTTCAGCACACCAAACACTAAATGTTAGTCATGTGGCTGTGTTTCTGTTAAGGTCTTGAAGGTGGGTTCTAGGGTCAAAAATTGTACACTATAGGCAGCTCCTGGGTAGAGCAGAAGGCAAAAATAAATGCCTGAAAAGGAAAGAATAGCAAGAACATTTAACATTGACAATAGCAAGAACACTTGCATTGACCCCAGCTGGGCTGAAATAACATGCAGTTATTTCAAAAACCAGCTTAGCATCTATAGGAAGTACTCATTTGGCTTCTTGCTTACTCTCTTAAGAGTAAGAAGAGTACTCACAGACCTTCTACTGCCCAAACCTTCTCAGCTTAACCTCGTGTCTGACACAGGCTTCTGTCTTAATTACCATTCCTCTTCAGTCTGAATTCTTTCAGGCTGCAACAAACCTGCTTCCCAGGGTGTGCTTTACTAAGCCTAGACAAAATTTGGAATAACTAGGGTATATGTCTTCCAAAGGCAATTTTTTTTTTTTTTTTGGTTGAAATGTGCTTTTCTGATCCAGGACACATCACTAATTTTAGTCTCAAGAGACTAGACTGGAAAGTACCACTGGTTATTGTTCCTGGCAAACCCAGAAATTTCTAGCAAGGCTACTTAAAGTCCCATTCCACTAAATTCCACAGAATCACTTATTACTCGCAGTGACATTATCTCATCAAGCTCCAAGTATATTTCACTGAAGTAATCTAAAAAAATATCTAGTCGGGTTACAGGCACGATATGCTTTCAAATGGGTGGGTTCTCCCTTTGATATAGGAAAAAAATAATTAGAAAGTCATAAAGAGAAACACCTTTCAGTGATGACTGCTCTTGATTTGATTTTACAGTTAAAAAAAAATACAGAAGTTGTTTTGCCTTTGTCTAGAATTGTCAGTAAGTGTAGATTGCTCCAGTTCTAAATGTTCTTCTTTTTCACCGGTATGAGCTGCAATTGCTCAGCAGCCCAGAGAATCAATCACGCTGTGACTGCTGCACATAAATAGTTGGTGAAACCCTGGGTCAGTACATCTGCCACAGCCAGACAGCAAACTGGCATTGAAACAGGGGACACAGGGCTAGTGAGTCACAGCTGCAGAATTACAGCTGATTTACCAAAGACAGCTCCCAGAGTGTTTTTAAATATTTCCTACTTAACACTTATGGGTAAGTCAAACATTGGCAGGACTATCAGGCTGTATTCTGGAAATAAAACACCTCTGTAAGAGTTTTATTGCTGGCTCAGCAGAAAACATATCCTTATACAAAGAAATAGATTTAAGCAGTTTGTTGAGTCTATGGAGATAGAGCCCAGCAGTAATTAAGGAATAATGCTAACAAATGAACCTACGTGAATTAATTTGCACAAATAATTTGACAGATGATGACACAAAATATCAAAAAAAAAAAGACTTGAAGATGTATATTGATTTCCATTAAATCAGAGAAGAGGCCTATGTTCACAGAGCCTAGAGTTTATATCAAGCTTCTGTTTATTATAGTAAGATTTTAAATTGTGAGAACCTTAAGCACCTAGAAGTAAAATGAAAATATGTAGGTTTAGGTTTAAAAAGCAGGAAAGAAAACAATTCTTCTTCTTTAGAGAAGAAGAAACATGTTTGTCAATATATTTGAATGTATTTGCTTGAAAAGTATGCCCTACAACATAGTCTTGCCAATAGTCCTGTGACTTCAAATGAATGTCTTTGATTTCTGCCTGTTATAAAAATTCAACTCTTTTATTGATGTATTTTAGCAAAGAATTCAGCTCACTCCATGTTATACATAAACTGTTATTTTATACATCGAATGAATTTAGCCCAATGGCTGATATTAGAAAGAGGTTTATGCCTAATGGAATCATATCAACTTCAATGGGACTGTGGAGCCTTAAAGCACAATATTTTGTCCAAATGACTGAGCTCCGTAATACAAATAAGCAATGCCAATTTCACATTTGTGAAAGGATGATAAACACATTAATAGGACTTTTATTAAAGTCAACAAGCTACTATAATGAATAAATAGAAGCTGCTATAATGAATAAATATAATAACAAAACCAGCAAGCTACTATAATGAATGCTTGTAGAAGAATATAGAGTCTTAGATCTGCTATATTTTATTGCACTCTTTTTTCACTTGAATGATAGGTTAAAATGCATTGATAAACCATATGAACGTGGGTAGGAGATTAACATAGGAAGCTCAGTGTGAACCCTTATGTAGGAGATGGCAAGGTATTTATTTTAAAAGAAATTATCTCAATCACACTCTTTTTCTCATATTTCTCTCTCTCACATTTCCATACCCACATAATCCTGGGTGGATATTTTGTGATATGCAGCACAAAGGAGACAGATCAATGGCAAATCTTGAATTTGTTTCAATTAGTGCTGACAAATTTCTTTGGGACCAGATCTTGTCCATTTTAGGAGTCAGTGGTTGTTAGGGTGTGACTTTTTGCCTCAGAATTTTGCTTATTTCACCATGCATGGCTCTGGGCAAGGTCACTGCCACTGCTTTTCTTCCTTATTCTCTGTATCATTTTGACTAAAGCCGTCTCCTCCCAGCAGGAAAAGGAATGGTCTGTACAGTATGGTATGCTTCCAGATGTTTTTATTTTTATCCAGAAAGATGACAGTATTTTCACTAATATTCTGTGCTCAGGAATATCTTTGTCAATTTCAGTCTCTTGGTACTATGCAGTCCTTATAGGTTAAAAAAAGTTTATTTACATAGGGGGATCTGCATGTTCTATATAGAGTTTATGTTTTGCAGCTGATACGCTTCAATATTTACTCTAGAACATCAGACAAAACAATTCACAACAGGTTAGAAAGCATCTGTGATCACAGCCTGCTGTTACTATTTTTACAAAATAATGATAATCATGGTAGCTTAAGGAACTGTGCCACAAGATTTGTAGGGCACAGAGTATTGTATTTAACAAGTGGAGGAGAAAAAACTACTAAATCTCATCCTCATGACTCTTCCTGTTAGAGAGCTAAGGAAGAGAATATGTTCTAGATACTTCCCTGCCACTAGACAGTATCAGTCAGGCTAATAGATTTAATTTAGTTCCAGTATTATATTTATCACACATACATTCATAATCACACTTGGAATGATCAAAGGAATTTATAAATCCTGGACTCCTACTCCATCATAATTCTGTAGTTTACACAGAATTAGAGTAATGCTACTACATTCATCCCATAACACACCCACCAGAAATCAACAGAATGTAAGTGAAGTGCTCTGAGTGAGAGGAATTGAGCCACCAAGTCTTCCTTTTCTTCCACTGCACTGAGTCAGCAACTGGGCTAAATAAAATCTCCATTCTGGTTTTGTCATTTCAGACAACCCAAAACAAAGCAGCCGTGTCCCCGTGTTCATTAAGGTCTTGGATGTAAATGACAACGCTCCAGAGTTTGCCATGTTTTACGAGACCTTCGTCTGTGAAAACGCAAAGGCAGAACAGGTGTGTTGCCTGCTCGTACTAAGAAAATATTCCAAATTAAATGAGTTTTGCTGCTACTCTTGCATTACCTCATCAAGCAATGTACTTTGCATTGCATCAAACTTAATTGCAAAATTAAACAGTGGCTGCACAGTATCTGATTTCACTCAGTATTCTTCCAGCTGACATGATGGTATGCTTTTGAATGTTATTTTCTGTACTGCACCTTGTTACCCCTGACTTATTTTCATTCTTTCATCCTTTGCTTTATTCAGGCACCTCCACTGTCTCCTTCAAAAACAATTTCTTGTCTGTAAATGTTACAGGTCCTGTCTGTGATACAACTATATCCTGCTAGATAGCTCTCAGTCTACCACTCCTATTGTGAAGTAGTTCGAAGTTGTAGGTGATTTGGAAGATTCAGCCAAACAATTTCTGTGACATGAGATTTGGGTAGATAAATATAAATTCAGCTTGGACTGTCTCACCTTTCATCTCTATGCCTTGTCACATGCAAAGGTTTCCTACCCATCTGCAGTGGCATTAACCCAGGCCTTCTGGTGAAATCAACATGATTTTCCTGCCAGCTTTGAAATTCATTATGTCACTCCCTTATGGTATAGGATATAATAATATGGTGACCCCAAACAGCGTCAGCAGCATGTGGATGACTTTTCTTGAGCTCACCATAGCAATATCATCTGCCTTGAAGCAGAAGAAAAAAAAATTAATACAAAAGATTGCTTTTACAGTTTTATTTTAGAGCACGTAAATAAATATAAAGTTCACTGACTTAGGGGATAATTTTGTTCTTATTGTTTCAGCTGATACAAACATTAAGTGCTGTTGATAAAGATGACTCTTACAATGGACATCAGTTTTCATTCTCCTTAGCTCCTGAGGCAGCCAGCAGCTCAAACTTTACACTACAGGACAACAGAGGTGAATTTCTAGGAAGACTTTTCTTTATTATCTTATCCTTGCTTGCTCTCAGTCTTCAGATGAAGATTTAATGCATGCTTTGTGTTTCCAGACAACACAGCAGGGATTTTCACACGAAAAACCAGATATAACCGGCACGAAACAAGTACCTACTTCTTGCCAGTGGTAATATCAGACAATGATTACCCCATCCAGAGCAGCACTGAAACGGTGACTATCCGAGTGTGTGCTTGTGACCATCGAGGAAAGATGCTGTCCTGTAATGCAGAAGCCTTGATTCATCCTACTGGTCTTAGCACTGGGGCTCTTATTGCCATTCTTCTCTGCATCATTATATTACTTGGTAAGTAACTCAGGTACATTTTGCTCCTTTCACGGTCATTTTGCATTGCTGTAATGATTATTCCAAGACTAGGACAAAGGAAGAGTAAAGTCTTATGCTGTACATATATTATTGTATTTCTTCTTCTAAGGGCTGCTACAGATGGGGTGTATAGGGCACAACCAATCTAACCTTAGTTATCTAAAAGTTAGCAATATATGAGGGAGAGGAGACAGCTGGGCCCCCCACTCTGTTCAATGGAAAGAGATAACTGTAGAGAGAGACATTCATCCCATCCCATCCCATCCCATCCCATCCCATCCTTTTTTGATATCTGAGGAGGACCAGACACATTACTCATAACCCTCTGCACATGTCCATCCCTTTCTGTTGCCCCTACAAAGAGGGCAGATGACTTAGTTTTGAAGAATTAACTTTCCTTTTCTAAACTGAGGAGAAAAAAATCTCAGAGCTTTTTTTCTGTTGGAAAAGGATGTTGAATGATACTGAGGGACTCTCTTAAAGGCTGCAGGGTCCTCCATTTCAGCCACCATTAGAAAAAGAATTGGATCCTAAGTGTGGAGAATGTGCAGAGGGCTCTGGCTATGGCACTTAAGGTGGTCAATGTTATATATATATATATAAGGACAGTTTGCAACACCTCTCACATACCTGTCAGGTTCCTCCCGTCTTGTACTGCAAACAGAGATAGTTGGTCACTCAGCCAGTATCTGTATACCTGTACCTGTTCATCTGGAGATAACTGTACAATACAACATAGGCTGTTCACTGGGAGATGACATTAGGATCTTAGGAGAAAAGGAGGGAGTCAGCTTAATTTTTTATAGCAGTAGGGTCAGGCAGGGGACAAAATGTTTCCTTCATGATTCTACTTCTTTTTACCATACTCCTATCTTCCTTGGACATGCTTCTCACCACTGCAGAGTCGTCATGATCTTTTCTTTTAACAAAATTTCCCTCTCCAGTAATGAGTCAAAGATGAGGTTGTGGTTCTCAGGCTCTAACAATATAGTCATGGCTTGCTCAAATAAGCTGTATCCCATTTTCAGAAAAGATTCCCACAATAGCAATCTGATCTTTAATTCACCATTAAATTCATTTTTCAAAACATGGTATCATTGCCCCTAAGGGCTGAGCTCACTTTGTATTAAGTCCTTACCAGAAAAAGTAATGTAATGCTGCAGGTAGTCTTGCACTCGTTAGTACAACTGTGCTCATTAATATCAATCTGACATTAAACGATTTCCTGTTTTATGTCAATCGAAAATAATTGATTCCGTGTGCTAAGCAGCACTTTATGTCAATTACTGCTCATGCCACCATGCACCATAAGCAGATTTTCAATTAACTCAGCTATATAATTTTCTATTTTCAGGTTGGTTGCAGGGTTTGAATGTGCAACCACTACTGAGTGAAAAACAATACTCTGGGCAGACCTGAACTGCAACTCAAAGTTTAGCTGCAACAAAAAGTGCCTGTAAATTGCTAGGTTTATATGCAGTTTGAGTAAGTTTAGCATCTTATCAGGAGGTTTCAGATACTGCTGAATGCAGACATGCAAATAAAGGTGATGTACTTCAACATGTAGCTTATGATGGGGTCTTTTTCCCTCAAGTTCAGCACAAAGCAGTAAAATCCATGTATCAGATATGTGATGTATTTATCAAAGCCTCATCCTTGCATGTTCTGTGTAACACTGTTTTTGTAATGAGATACTTCAGCAACTCTTTGATATAAAATTTATCATTCCTATGTTTTCTCAGACCATTCTACCAGTCACTGTTCCAAAAGCCCATTCCAAACTGACATTGTGTTTTTCAAGTTCTCCAAAATGTTCTCCAGATATCTCTCTTCTTTCATACACACCTTTTACCAGTCCTTCCGCACAGTGCCACAGCTTTTTGCTCCTTAGGATTACAGTTGTCCCTCACTGCATTTTTGCACAGCAGCACAAAGAAGCATCACTCAAACCAGGACCCTTCTGTGATGCCATAAGTAAATCCTCATCATTAGGCTGCAGTCCTAATGCAATCTGAACCACCTCTCCTAGTCCTTCAACTTCACCATCCGTTTCCTTTCAACTCATATTGACAGATGTTCCTCCTTATTCACAGTATTACTGTGGTAAAACACAGCATTTTCCTACTTTATCCTGTCTTTATGGTGACCTTCCATAATCAACTTACAAGATGCTCGGGCACACCTACAGACAGTATTTTGCTCTAAGCAATCCTGCAGGGGAACTCATTATTAAAATAAACAAGCAACCAAATCAAACAAAAAAAAAACCAAAACCAAACCCAAAACAAACAAACAAAAAAAAACCCACCAAAAATCCAGCCAAAACAAACAAAAACAAAAAAAAACAACCATCACCCCTGATCAAAAGAAAAAACCCACCAGAACTTGTCTGTCAAAGGAAACTAAGAATTATAAGGTTCAATGGAATAAAGTTTTGGGCTGGGGACACCCTTAGTCCTTGATGTTTGCCTTAAAAGGTAACAACTGAGGAAAGGACTGAAAAAAAATTCTTTAACAGTTACTGTGCTTTACTCACACGCCATTTTAGAAGCAAAGCTGACATGAAAGATCATTGTGATCCACCTTATCATCTCACATCAATGAGTTTAGGCATTTCTGCTTTGCTTTGCTATGGAAAAAACTGTAAAGGCAGCAAGATGTGTCCTTCCTTGGAGTTTGCACAGCAGAGCTGAAATGCTGGGCACTGCAGACCTCAGACTACCAAAGCAACACTGGCAGCAGAAATACATCCCTGCTCCTTGCTACTGTTAATTTGTCAATATTCAGCCATTTACATCTTAATGTAGGATACAGCTTAGAAATTTGAAACTAGCTTCTACAGGAAAGTGTTGGCCATATCCTTTTCCACGCTTTGTGTCCACTTCTCCATCACTACTGAAAATTATTATTGAGTAAAAATATTAAAATTTGCATCAGGATCATGGAAAGAATTCATTCCCTCCAAATAAATGAAAAATATGTGTATGCAAACACACACTTTAAAATGAAGGACATAAAATATCTTCTAGAAATCTGCCTTTGTCACATTAAAAAATACTTTTATTGTATCTCATCAGTCCATTATTTAATTTGTGTACTTTTCAAGGTGATGTACATTGTAAAAACATTCCAGGGAATTTAATAAAACTCAGACTTTGTGCTGGCTTAAAATCTGCTCCATATTCCAAGCTTTTTTCCCAGAGGAGCATAGATTTACTTATCTTGAAATTCTGCTTTGCTAAGATCAGTACATACCATCCTTGTCCATAGCAGAAGTTGCATATTGTCCAAGGGGTTCAACATAAATAACTTCTGATGTTACTTATTCTGGAGAAAGTGTTTCTTCCTTCCTAGCTATCATGAAACTAGTTCTGTTCTCAACGTGACAAAATTAGGATATGGCTCTGGGTAACAAAGTGCCTACCAGCAAAAAGACACTCTGCTTGGCTTCCTACAAGCTTGACATCTCCTTTCTTCTGTGCATCCATGCCATTTCATCTCCCAAGGAACTCACAGGCAGAGCAAGTGCAGCTTGAAAATCTGATGTGCGCATTTTCAGTTTTTCAAAACATCGTCTCAAACTTCAAGCTCAAGCAGAGGCGCAGCATTTCTTCTGGGCTTTAGTGGAGTTGGGGATTAACCTTCTTTCCCTTTCTCTTTCACTGTTGTTTTTGTTTGCAGTTACTGTGGTGCTGTTTGCAGCACTGAGACGGCAGCGGAAAAAAGAGCCTTTGATAATTTCCAAAGAAGACATCAGAGACAACATTGTCAGTTATAATGATGAAGGTGGTGGAGAGGAAGACACCCAGGCGTTTGATATTGGCACGCTGAGAAATCCCGAAGCCATAGATGATAATAAATTACGCAGAGACATTGTGCCAGAAACGCTTTTTCTGCCGCGGCGGACTGCAACAGCGCGAGATAACACGGATGTCAGAGATTTCATTAACCAAAGGTTAAAGGAAAATGATACAGATCCAACAGCACCCCCGTATGACTCATTAGCAACCTACGCGTACGAAGGTAATGGTTCTGTGGCCGAGTCCCTCAGCTCCTTGGAGTCGGTGACTACGGACGGAGATCAGGACTACGATTACCTCAGTGACTGGGGACCTCGGTTTAAAAAGCTGGCAGATATGTATGGCTCAATGGACAGTGACAAAGACTCTTAATATGTTGTCTTTTTTTTTTTCTCTCTCTTTTTTTTTTTTCTGTTCCTTATTCCCAGAAACAGCATTGGGATATGTGAAGTGGCTATTTCTTTCTGTTTCTCCACAGCTGTTTGAAAGGGTTCTCTATTCTACCCATTTGAATTGTCTAATGACTGCAGTCTGTGTGGATTAGCCATCAGAAAACTTTCTCTATTATCATTTTATGAGCTTCCAAGAGGCAAAATCCTTATTTTTTGAGTGCATCCAGTTTACCAAGCCAATCTGACAGGCACAGCAGTAGTGGAGGGAAAAAAAGGATCAGATGGGGAGCAATATTTTTACTTGTTCTGCTTATATTGTAAATTGGAGTATATTACTGTTTAAGCTCACTTGCTTTTTACTTGTATTCAGACTATTCAGCTCAGACAACTGCTCTGTCGATTGTGTATTGCACATCCCAATGTAATGAGGTACCCTAGTTTACCCTATGTATTATAGTCAAAAGTAGTGGTGATGGAATGAAGGTTTATTATACAAGTAGAGTAAGCTGAGAAAAGAACATCGAACATGCATTTTACTCATGAGCAGGGTAGAGAGGCTTAATGGTCATTTAAACCTGAGTGTTTCTCTAGAACTCATCATTTCCCCATTGCACTGAATCATACTAACACACACATATATATAGTTCATTGACTGCTCTGTATATATTCTTTGGACCTAGCATTGCTGGAGAGATGTGTGTGTGTGCACGTGTGTGTGGTCAGTAGCCCCAGTATATAATTCTTAGATGGTTTCCTCATTCTAACCCAGGCTTGCTTTGTGATACAGGGAAAGTCATCAAATCCAGCTCCAGATTAGGTCATGACTTGGAGGAAGGAACAGATCATAACTGGGCTTTTGCTTGCACTTCCTCAGTCGGCCTCCACTTGCACATCAGTTCAGTGGTGCCCACTGTCCTGGAGATGTTGTAGTCAGGGTGTTCATATCCACCTACTCCTGCCTGTTCTCATGTGCAGGTGGGGAGGAGTGACCTCAAGGTGACTGCAACCCTCTGGGGCAAAAGGAGCAACTGCAGAGGAGAAGAGTGCTTTTTTTTTGTCCTGACCTTCTCTGCCTAGATGTCGGGGGTGGATTCCTGACTGACTCTCTGCCCAGTTTTGCTATCTGTAATATGGGGAAATAATGCCTACCTCATCAGGATGTTGCAAGAACTATGTAAGACATTTGGAAAATGCTTTAGAAATGGAAAAGACCGGCATTCTGCCAGAGGAAGTAACTTTTCATGCTTTTGGGTAGTTGTTTCCTTTTTTTTCTTCCAGACTCAAGCCCTGAACAAACAAACGGTGGTCATTCCAGTGGCCTGAAAGGAGCTATAATTATAACTCATTTTTTAAAATAAACTACTCAGTCAGGGTTGTTAAAGACTTTAATGAAAGGTAAAATTTTAACCACAAGTTTCTCTGTGTTTATCCGCTTTGCCAAGCTGAGTAATTTTTGTCCAGGTGTGGAGTGGGAAAGTTGCCATAATCTTGGGCCAAAACAGTTTTCTTTATAGCTTGCACACCACTCAGTATTTCAGTTGGTTTTTCAAGCATGTAGTGGCTGCTCTTCAAACCCAGACATCTAGGAGAGGTTCTCTGGAGAAAACCCTAAGGGTCTTCCATGAGGCATAACCAATTCCGAAGTTAAATGCCACCCTGTGTCCCAAAGTAGGGAACCAGCCCATGGCACTGTGCCAAGGAAAGAAGGAATTACTATTTTTTAAATACCTCATGTGTAACTATTCTAATTTATTTCATGAAACAGTATTTAATACCAGAATTACAGGATATATTTCCTCCTCCCCCAGATTTTAAGTGAATCATTTTGAAAATTGAACAGCTCCAATTTACTCCAGAAATAAAGAGAGGTGAGAAAAAAAAGTTAATAAACAGAAAACTAAGAGCAGTTCAAAATGAATCCCTGGAATTCATTACTCCTTGTGAGTTAACGAGAGCAGTAAGAGTCCCAAGTATTAGACTTCTTTTACAACCACACTAACAGAATTTTAGATTTTGTGGACCAGCTCAGAGCAAAGAGGATGAGCCAGCCATGCTGTGGCCCTGGCTGGGCAGGAAAGGCCTTGTTGAGCATGCACACCTGTAGGGCACAGCAGCTAAAGGCTTGCAGATGCCCAGCACTATAGATTGGATGCTTTCAGAGCAGAGGGGGCCAGAGTTTCCAAGGGTCCAGAGCCCTAGGCCTCCCTGGTGGAAACCTCTCAGAGTGTTTAAGTCCAACACAATGGGGTTCCCAATTCCATCACTTGGTGGGTGCTGAGCTGTTGCAGCCATCATAATGGCAATGGCATGGCTAGAGCCTTATTATGTCCTCTTCAGGGCCCTTAAGTAATTTAAGATGCTACAAGCCTAGCTCTTCATGGCTTCCTTGAAATTCGAACTTCTAGGAAGCAATCTGTCCAAAAGCTCGCTCTGGCAGATAGGAGAGACCATCTGAATTTCAGATATGTGGAGCAGCAGCAGATGCTCAGCAACACCTGCCATAGGTCCTCACTTTGGGCTGCTCCCCTCACACCGTGTTAGTGGGGCCAGCACATCCCCTCCAGGGGCTCTCCCCCGTGGCTTCCTAACACATCCCTCTCTCACCTTCACTCTGGGGTTGCATCCAGTAAATGGTTCCAAGCTCAGAATCCAGCTGGATGCCCAAAGTGAGCCAGTGAACTGTCCCTTCCCTTCCTTAAGCCTCAAGGAAACAGACTGGTGTGTGGAGGGGATGGCAGAGCTGGATGTGATGCTGTTCAGCCCTGCGAGCCAGCTCCAGCTCACTGGGAAGAGGGAGTCGGTGGCGCTTGGCTGAAGACAGCCCCGGTGCCCTGAAGGGGCTGGGCCACTCTGCAAGTCAGCAGCCTGCATTAGTCACTTCTTGGGTGGGATAATGAGACAGCAGATCAGTGAACTCCTTGTAACTATTTTCCTATGTTTGTACAGTGATTTACTGATTGTTAGTAGCAGTCCAAGTGCAAGTTTTACCTTGGTTTGGGGTTTTTTTCCTTTTAATTCAAAGCTGGTTTTATCTTGTCCATTGAGTGACACAGTAAATAATAGAGAGTGGCTACTGGTGCCTGTTATGTAAATATATTATATATATAAAATTATGTTATGTCACCACAAATATGGTGCCTGAATAGCAAATGCATTCTTCTAAGAAAATTTGAGGCAAACTTGCATCCAAGTTATTATTTATGCATCTAGGTTTTAAGGTCTATTTTTTTCCTGCAAATTAAACTGATTTAGCATCTCTCACACAGCAAGGAGAGTTCAATTCTTTCTTTTCTTCTTGCTTGGCAGTACCACAAAGTGCAATTTATAAAATCAGTACTGCATTCTAAATATTGAAAGTGCCATATTGCAGTGAATACAAACCTTTGCAGTAGTATTTCTTTGCACTTTGTTGCATGGTGGCGTGCTAGATGATAGAAATGAGTATTTAACAATGCTTTCACACAGTGCTACAATTGTCATTTGTAGATAACCAGTTGTTGGACTATGGGTTATGAAGTAGCTTTCAAGGCTGCTTTAAGCCTGCTCTTCTTACAACTACACCTACTTCAGAAGAAGAAATATTATTAGGCAGTTTTGCTAAGCCAGGTAGAGAGATTAAAAATGCAGTTGGCTTTTAATTTGGGAAAGCATCTGACCTAACAACAGGAAACATTTAAAAGACACCAAGGAATTCAGTGGAGTCAACATGAAACAGGGACCTGGTAGGCTATGCCAGCTATGCTACTGCAGAACAATAACATCTCTACACTTGAAATGGAATAAGGTTTCTACAGTAACTATTTCATCTCAGCTCCCAAGAAACTCACTTTACCCCAGAAAACTGGTGGGGAGTTGTTTTTGTCTTGGGTTGGCTGGGGTGTTTTTTACGCAGGAGAACTACTTCAGGTTAAACCCAATTCTATCCCACAGCAGCACCAGTGTAGGGAGACGCAGCAGCCCGCGCCTCCAGTGCAGCTGTTTCAGGACATCTCTCTGTGCAGAAAGTGCTTGGAAGAGAGCTGAGGCAAAGACTTGCAGAGAGCTCTGCACAAGGCTCTACCAGCAGTATCACAGGACTGAGATGTGTTCCCAAACCTGACAGAGATGGAGTTGTGTCTAACCATGAGAAAACCAAATTGTCTGTATTTTTCAGTTATATCTGTTAAAAATCTGCTGGAAAAGATGGGTAGTAGAAGAAAATGTCACCTGTACCAATAGAAATGTTTTCTAAATTTTTCCTAAAAACATATTTGTCTGGTCTTGCTTCAGGTGTTTCTTCACTGTTAAATGTGAATGGAAGAGGCAACCTTCAAATAATCCACTTTAGGAAGTAGCAGTCTACATTACAAGTTACAGCTTCTCCATTTCTCTGTTATGAAAACAAAAGAAAAAAAATCCCACAAAACCAAGAGAATGAACATCTGCAGTACTATAAAACCCAGAGCAGTCATAGAGAAGTATAGCAGAGAGAAATTGCTTTAGAAAGGTATGTCTACATAGGTACAGTTTGAAAACCAGAATTATCCATGTTGAGCAGAACCAGCAGTGGACTTCCAACACTTTCAGAGTTCCTGACACACCAGAGGGAGATCTGTGTGGATAGGGAGAAAGACATCTCTTTTACACCAAGCAACTTAATCTTGCAATCTCTTTTACACCAGGCTGTTTCCATGTAGATCTCTCAGAAAGAAAGGCACGTGCTAAATTTCTGCAGCAGAACTATCTTGGTGGTCTTATGCAGGGTGATTCCTGACAATGGTTTTGAGCAGGTAACTCTCTGCAAGCACCACTGGGTTAGTTCGACCTATCTGTTAGAAAGGTCTCTCCATGTTTCCTTTGGCTATGAGAAGCATTGAAGTGTTTCAGAAGACCACTGTCCCAAATGAATGCTGCTGTCCGTCCCCTGCCCATTTGCATTTCAATTAACTCTGCAGTCTGAGCTGCCTCATCAAATGAGAGCTGACAAAGAGTCATTATGCTGCTTCCAGTG